TTTCTGTAGCATTGCGTACTTTGGCTGAATGTTGGCTTACTCGTAGTGGACTGCAATCTAGTAGAGTGATAGCTCGTAGCACCACCAGTAGTTTGTATCTTTGTTGCTTAAGTGGTATTGCAACAAAAGATACTTGCACTTCTACAACATCTCCTGGACGTATCTTCATTGGGTTGATTTCATAGTATCTGCAGTGTATTAGTTAAATTTGAATTGTTTGAGCACTCCATTGCTTACCGTATAACATTATCAGTTCCTTGTTGCGCTTCATAATATTCAACCTTATTTTCTTGGAGATGAACAAATTCATTGGACAATGCATTGGTAAGTATATCGTGTGGGTCGATTTCAGTGCCAAAGGAAATAGGAGTGTCACCGTTTATATCACGCCGGTCTGTGAAATAGCGGTTGCCCATATCCAATGCTTCAAATGTTTCATAGTAACTGGGAACCCATGCTTCCATGGTGTTGTGGGGTAGCGATCTCTCAAAAATGTGTTGTACGTCGTAAATGTTTTCAATCACGGTGGAAAATTTGGTTCCCCCGAGTCCCGTCAAAGCTAATGATTGCTTCATATATCTTCGCTGCTTTGGCTCTCTGTATTATAAGGCTTTAGCTTGTTTACACATCAGAATTAAGGAAATGCTTACATTTTAAATGGTCGTTTCACAGGTGGAAGACTTGCATTGCAAACAATACCCTGTATGCGTAGTACAACTTCTTCTTGGCTGTTGTCCTCAATGTTGGTCTTTGTAAGCTTCCAACATCTTGGTTTGTCCACCTCCGCTACCGAGCAGAAATCTGACATTCCATTGACCTGTTATGGGGGTGTGAGTATCTGTTAATCTATAATGCTATACCACTGCTCACCATATTAAAGTATGCCAGTTGTACAACCTTTGCACCCTTCGTCGTCCTTGCATCTATGACGGCCTCAAGCAGATCACCTGGTATATAAAATTAGTGACTCTACACATCCACTTTAAGAGGGTACTTACGTGCTTCTATCTTGTTGTAAAATGAATCCATTGTAGTGAACAGTGACCTGTAAAGTGTTCCAACCACAGAAGGTGGGGTGGGTTCGATTCTCTTGGAGTTTTTGGTGGACTTACTGACAGATCTGCAGAAGTTGATGAGCCCTGACAATATATGGTGCGATAGCGTCGGA